ACAATAGTGTGTATATATATATATATATATATATATATATATATAATAATAATAATAATAATATTAAAATCCATAAAAAATAAATATAATAATTATAAAAATAAAATTTATTTATTATTTTTAAGTAAAATTATTATAAAAATTAAACTTCCAATAATAATAATAATGAGTTATTTATTATTTATAAATAAAATTATTTATAAAATATAACAACAACAATAATAATAATTTGTACTATGGATAAAGGAGATTGTCTGTATTAACATTTTTGAACAATTTTATCTTTATAACTATCTTTTTACAAATTATAATTTTTTTTATTCTTTTATAACTACTTGTATTTTTAATAATCATTTACTATTATATAATATATATTATTTATTATTTTATAAAAATAATTCACAGAAACATAAAATATCTTTTATACACTAGTATAATAATAATAATAGTTTTTACTTATTATTTTTAAATTAAAATTAAATTTTTACTTATTTTTCTTTTACCAAACAATTTTTATTTCTACTCAATTTCTTATCTATTTTTCTACGCTTTTCTTCTCATATTTTCCTTATTTTTTTTTATCTATAATATATATAAAGACAATAATCTAATTAAAAGTACATATTTTTTTAGACTATTTTATCTTTAATTATTTAAATAATAAAAATAATATTAAAAAATAATTATCTTTACAAATACAAAACTTTAAAATTTGAAAATTAAGTGTAATATCAATTAATCTAACAAATATTAATAATTTTTAAAAATATTTATCAAATAAAATATAGAAATATGAAGTAACTTATAATATTAGAGTTTATATGTTACAAATTGAAAAAAGAAAGTAGATTTAATATAAAATAATTATAATAATTAAGTAGTATTATTACATAAGTTAATTTATGTGAGAATAAATTTATCAGTTGATCTAATAAATGTTAATAATTTTTAAAAAATTGTATTAAATAAAATATAGAAACATCAAGTAACTTGATCATACTAATTAAATATAATATTAGAACTTATATGTTACAAATTGAAGAAAGAAAATAAATTTAATATAAAATGTTATAATAATTAAGTAGTATTATTTTAGAAATTATAAACAAAGCATAAGTTAATTTATGCTGGTATACTATCATATATATATATTTTTTAAAAAGAAGCAAATGATTTTACGATAATTATTTAAAATAGTTTCTTATTTTAATAATATTTTAGTTTTTTTTCGACTTCTTTTTTACCACGTGTTTTATATCAGACAATAAAATCGATGATATAAAATAAATTTAGTTTAACTTGATTTTTTTTATTAAATAAATCTTATTCTAATCCACTAGATCTGACCATAATTGATTTGAGTATATATTCACGTTTTACAAATTCATTATTATTGTTATTTTATTTTATTACTATAATTATTACCTAATAATATTTTATAATATTACGATTTTATTAATAATATATAATGATTTTATCAGAACGAGTATATATTACTTAAATAATGACCGTAAGTTTTGTAACTTAAAAAAAATTAATTATGTTCGATGAATTATTTTAATTTTAAATGTTGAAATATTTTAATTTTGAATATTAGATTAATTTTGACTATTTTAATTATATGGTTTTTATAATACTTTTTATTTAAGTTTGAATGTTATTTATTCTTTTAGTAATAAGTTTTTGTTTAAATTTAGATATAAAATAGTATATTTTGTTATAAAAAAATAATTTATTTCGGCTATCAAGGTGATGACATTTATTACACGAGGATTCGTTTTGTTGGACTGGCGTTACGAGAAGTGAGGAATTCGAAAATAAATGCCAGAACACTCTATCTCTATCTATCTTTCTGTCACGAAAGTGCGTAATTACAAAAAGTCACTCCCTTTCCCTTTTCTTTTCATTACAGGAATAGGAATTGTTCGTTGCTTCCTTTGCGCTCCTCACACCCACTTCCCTTTTTTGTCCTCGCGCACCGCTCACGCTCTCTTTCGCCGAGTAACTGTTCGACGAAATGCCCCAACCATGCACTTCCTCACCGCACCCTCTTCTTCTCTTCTCTCGCCCCATTTGACCCCTTCGCTCTTCTGCCCCCCTCTTTACTTCTCCTCCGCCTCGACCGGGAGGCTGCGCCGGTTCGCGCTTCTCAACGAACCGGGTTCGGTTCTCAACTGTTACAAGGGTTTGTGCTGGTCCTGCTCCGGGTTCTTGCGGCGCTGCAAGGATTGGGAGGGCGAGTTCTCCTCTCTGGAGTCCCAGATTTTGGAGTTCATGCAGGGTTCCGATAAACCTGGAGTGTTTCCCACAAAGGAGGAGTTGGTTGCTGCGGGGAGGGTGGATTTGGTCAACGCTATTGTTAACGAAGGAGGGTGGCTTGCGTTTGGGTGGGATTTGAATGATGGGTTGGGGGAAATTCGCGGTTTTGAAGATAGGGGTAGCGGTGGAATTGAGGGTAATGCAACTCGGCCTTCTGGGGTTGCTTCTTCTTCTTCTTCTTCTTCTCGAACGGATGGTTCAGTGTGAGAATCCCGTTATAATGATGCACCTCTCCTCTTCTTTTTTGCTTTTTAGGGCTCTGTTTGCCGCTTTCCCGTGTTTCTGGATGTTTGGAATTTCTCGTGGTAAAGATTAAAGTGTTCTTTTTCTTGATGTGTAGGGGAGATTCGAGGGCCACACATGGGCTTTGGATGTTTGAATTTGGAAATGTTGTGCGCGATTTTAATCTTGCAGCTTGATTCTAGCAGGATGGATGGAAGGGAGGAGTGACTTGAGTGTTGTTTGTGGTTGAAAGATATAGACGAAGCTTAAGGGGGGATTTTACTGCATAATTATAAGACCTTCAATGTTGTTATGGAACTGGATGTTGATGCAAAACCAACGGGATAATAAATTCAATGTAGAAGAAATAAGAATGTCGCGTTAGATGAGTTGACATACTAGACGAGGTAGGGTTAGGGTGCATTGTAGACAGTTTGGTGAACCTATTAGAGGAAGGATGGTAGAAGCTTACCGTAGGTAGTTTAAGCATGTGTGGAGAAAACATGTGGAAGCTGCCCCAAGTGGGGAAGGTAAATCAAACAAAGGGCGGCCCAATTGCTAGAGGTAGAGGGAGACCCAAGCTATAGGGAAAACCATTGTGTGAGAATTAGGTGACAGTTGTTTCTCTGTAGATATGATTTATGTCAGAACATTATGGTGTCGCTTAATCAATGTGGCGAGTGGGAGAAGGCTTTGTTGTTGTTCTTTTAATCTGGCAACAATGAGCTAATTTATAAGTGTCCACTATTTATTTTTCTTCCCATTGTACTGTTCTGTTCCTATTGCCCAATAGATGAATTATATGTAACTTCAAGTGACAAGCGGTATCCTGAGTGTTACTTTCTGTTATACAGGAAAATTGAAACCGGTGAATCTGGCATTGAGGGTATATTGAATCGGTTGGAGAAACAAAGAAATAGTGTTTTAGGACTTGGCTTAATAGAGAAAGAAGATGGTGTTTTTAGCGAAAGTAATGAAGATAAAGATGAATGGGATCATAGAACAACAATGAATGCAGTAAGTAAATATTATCCCCTTCAAATGTTCTAGGCTGTTCTTTAGTTTCCATTACTCTTTACGTCATATGCTAAAAGTATAAAGAAAAATTAAAGAAAGATATTATTAACTATATTGGAGTTCTGGAGCATTTGAATATTGAATTTTTTATTATCAAACTTTCACATTTCCAATGTTTATTCTATTATATATTTCTACCTATTAGTTTAAGCTATAGTTTTAATGTTTAATACCCTGAATCTGAGATAATGAATTTTTGAAATATCGCTTTTGATGTCCCTCATTATGTTGAAATTTTAAAATATTTTTTTTTGGGTATCTCCTGTGTTGTAAAGTTAGCTGCTGGCCTTGAAAATAGTAGTAGAGCGTCCTCATTGAGCCCTACAAGCACTCATCTTAGTGGTTCTCGGATCAAACATGATCAGCACGGATTAGGTTCTGAAAATTTAAGAAACTCGCTTGAGCCAGAGATGTGGAGAAGTTGGATTATTCAGAGAACTGGTGTTTCGGATGCAGATTTTGAAGGTAATCTTGTTTACATTTTTAGGTTGCGTCTTATTGTTGTAGTCTTATTGTTGTAGTCGGGATCAACTGATATCTTCATAATTATGAATTTATGATATACAGATGCTGAAATTGTTCCTGGTGAAACTCAGAAAGGAGGTATCAGTGGTGCTTCAGGACAACCTGATATCCTCAACGGAAGGGAGTTTTCTTCTGAACTTATAAACAAAGAAACAGGATTATATTCTCTTGATGGAAATGCAAATAATAATGACATTAAATCCCGTATACAGCATCTGAAATTGGAGCTATCTTCTGTTCTTCACTCGTTGAGGTCTAGCACAGATATAACTGCAATGCAGACAGTGAGTGTGATAATATAATAAACTAGTAATGGAACTTGTCTGTGAATTACCCCAACAAAAAGAAAAGAAACAACACAAGATTTACCTATTTGATGCCCTGTGAGTAGAAAAGAAACAACACAAGATTTACCTATTTGATGCCCTGTGAGTTGCAGTTGCCTATGATCTTACTATTTTTTATTGGTGGGGGGTCTTATTTACGAGTTACAAATTATTTGAAATAAACAACAGTGAAGTATATCCAATCTTTGATCTTTGCTGCAGGTCTTTCTCTATTTTTTTAAAGCACTAGTGATGTTAGCTTAGCTCATTTATGTCTTTTCTATGCTTTGCAATAAGTTTGGACCTGACTAGTATGTATTATGAATAGATATTGTTGCCACTTCTATTTTTGAGGGCAGAGGGGAATTTTTCTGTGCAATATGTTTTGGGCTGGGAGAACCACACAAGCCAAGGGAGTCAACAAAGGATACAAACACAATCTGTTTATCAATTTTCATCTTATAATTAACATATTATACTCCAAGAAATTGAATGTTACTAAAACTATGTGCATTAAGCCTATCCAATATGATTCATAAAAAAAAGAAACTTAATTGATGCTTCTCGTCTATACAAAATCTTCCACTTTTTTGGGCATCTCCCTTTATCTCTTGGGTCTTAGTATGGACTACAGATATGCTGTATGTGTGCATTGACTGGTGTTAGCAAGGAGTTTCACAGGCTCTGTGGGTTGATAAATTGAGAACAATTAAGATACTGAACAGTTGTTTGCGTGATTTAATTCGTGCAGGTGGAGCTAATAGCTACCACAAATTTAGTTTTATTTACTGCAAAGAATCTTGGTTAAGGGTTCTCTTTCAGTAGAATAGTTTTTCATTTACTGTTAATTGTCAACATTAATATTAAGGCCTTTCCTTGGGATCCTATGCTAGTCCTGATCTGCTTGCTGTATGTTCTTGAATAGGACCCAAAGCACTCTTCTGATAATCTAGCAAAGCTTTCCGATGCTTGGGAATTCCAGGAAAATGAGATGATAAATGCTCAAGACAGGTTGCGTTCTATACGGGCTAAGTTGGCAGTGTTAGAAGGAAAGATGGCATTGGCAATAATGTATCCCCGAGATACGATTCAATTATTGTGTCATATATACATAACATAAATCTTGACAATATTCATTTCTCCCAGGGATGCACACAAGGTTGTTGAAGAAAAGCAGAAGAAGATTAATAATGCTCAAAAAGCTTTGCAAATGCTAAAGACTACTTGTGTAATTTGGCCAACTAAGGCTGAAGAAGTACTTTTAACAGGATCATTTGATGGTTGGTCCACCAAGGTCTGCTCTCTTGCCGAGAACTTTTTAATTGTTAAAGTAGATGTTAAAACAAATATGTTCGAAATATTTTCAGCTGAAATAAATTTTACAAATTAAAAAACATGTTTAACAAATATAACAAAAAAAACAGTTTGTGTTTTTCTCTTAAACTAGAAACAGTATATTCTGAAAAAGAAAAAAGGTATAAAAAATTATATCCTGTTTTACAATATATTGTTTGTGTAAATAGATGTACTAAAACCATTCATATGCCGCCACCACTTTCTCAAGATGAGTTTCATGGTTCTCACCTTCTCAGCATGGGTTTCATACCATTTTATGCCTTTCGCATGGGTCACGGAACACGCACAACCTTGCTCAAAGATAAACCACGTAGAATTTATGCGTACAATATGACTTAAGGATTCATAAACCACTATTTTTTACCTGATAGGTCTGCCTGTGTTATATATCCAGGATTCGGTCAATTGTAGGTGGTTGATTGATAAAAGTATATTGATTTTCTTTTTGTCTTTTGTATTTTGCTAAATCAAATCTGATCTGGAATGACCGAATATTTTTATATAGATTCCCGGGATGCTTTTCAGATTACTTATATTGAGCACATTAGACGTAAATACATAAAATATTTAGCAAATAGTAATTTTATTGCAGAGAAAGCTGGAGAAGTTAAGTAGTGGTATGTTTTCTGTGAACTTGCTGCTGTATCCTGGAAGATATGAGGTTAGTTGTATTTTATCCTGTAATGATGTCTTAAACCTGTAGATGTAGTGCCCGATATGAAACACGTAGCAGACATTTTAATTACTTGTTTTTCTGTTGCAGATGAAATTCATTGTAGATGGAGAATGGAAAGTTGATCCGTTACGCCCTGTTGTTACAAGCCATGGCTATGAGAATAATCTTCTCATCATTAGTGATTGATGTAACAGAGAGTTAGCATGAGATAATATCTGTAGAACATAGAAGATGATGACATGCTCTAGGTTAGTCACCAATTTTTTCCCCCATTTTTTCGCTTTTGTACAAAATATTCAGCGAGTAGTTCATTAATTCTTTTACTTAGTCCTTGTGCCACTTTTAGATGTAGATATCTTGATTGATGTCAAACTAATCCCATTCAATCATTTTTAACATGTTCATGTAATTGTGGAAGTGATGCCTCACCGTATCAAATGATACGAGTAAATGTTTGTAGTAAGGTTCACAAGTCTTCACTGTTTTGAATGTTGTTATTGGCATATTTTATGATCAATTGTAAAAGATGAGAAATAGTTCAGTTTTAGCGTATCTTTACAGTTCTAGAAATTAATGCTTTGAAATCCAGCTTGATATTTTTCTTTTCTTTATTTTTCTTCAATTGATGAGCAGCGAGGGTCGAGACATTCGAAAGTCCCAATCTATTCGAATATAATAAGAAACCGAAATATTCCAATTCATTTTCTGTTGGGAGAATGACAGTATTAAATGGACTAAAATTTGGAGTTCTATTGTAAAAAGGAAAATAATATGGTGAATGATCACCCACTTATAATGGGAATGTCATAGCATGTTCTATCATAGTCTATAAATTGGAAAGATGTGAACAGCTATCCTTTATTTTTCTAAGAGGATCATTCATATTCACTTCCCTTCTTCATAGTTGTCAAATTTTTGAGGTGTTCGTGGAGCCGAGCCTATGGCTTTCCAGAACAATGCATCCTGAATCCAAAATAATATTTCAGAAATAGAACTTTCTTGGCATGTACCATTCTGTATACTAACACACTGAATTTCAGAACCAAGCTGCTGACAACTTTTGACATGCACATATCAAATTAGCGTTTAAACAAGTTTAAGAATAATCTAGGGCATGGTTATAGCAAACGTGAACCCACTTCCACAGAAAACTCTAATTGATGCAGCTTCATTCAGATCATAATCGAGACTAACTGTAGCAGGACTGATTCGGTCGCAAGTATCCCCTAAACCAAGTTGACCATGCTCACCCCAACCCCATGTCTTTATTTCTCCATGTTCTGAAAATAGGAATGAAAGAAGTCAGCACTTTTATGTGATTCTAAACTAGCTTGAGAGCAAGACTGCATCTTGCCTGTGACAATGACAGAATGCTCAGCTCCGGTAGCAATATCAGTAATCTTCATCTCATCAAGGCCAGGGACTTTCTCCAAATTGACTTCTCTAAAATCTTATACAAAATAAAAAAAGAATATTATAAAGAGTAAAGCCATTTAAGAATTGGCTAAAATAATATTTTAGTCCCTTATAATAATTGTTTGTTTTAATTTAGTTCCACTTTTATTTTTGGTATCAATTTGGTCTCTAATAAATTAATTGGTTTCAATTTGGGACTCCCGTCCAAATTATTTAAACGGAGTTAACTGTTGGTCACGTGGATGCCACGTAGATGCATAGGTGGAACCAGAACGGCCCGTTCTGAAACTAGAACGAGCCGTTCTGGGTGCACTCTTGGTGCCTAAATTTTGCATCCGGAACGACCCGTTCCAGGTGCAAAATTAACACACTAAATGTGCAACCAGAACGGGTCGTTCTGGTTTCAGAATGGACCGTTCTGGTTCCAGACTGCTAAACATAAACGATCAATGATTATAGTTCACGATTGTAAATCGTGGAAGGAAAAAGACCCAAGGTACAAAGTATTTCAAACACTGAATTTGGTAATATTGTCAATGGAAATTGATAACTTCAATTGCTAAACAGTTAGACTATACAATGTATCATTAAGGACAATGCAATGTATCACTAAAGACAATTGTAGCAAATTTTATTTCATTTCAAACTGGAGTGAACCACTTACTAACAAATTGACACTATGCAGTAAAAGATGAAATGATATGATATTTTTTCTTGAAGTCATTAACGATGTACCCCAACAACAACAACCTGTTCTTGAAGAGGTAGAACTTGAAGTAAAGGAAGAGGATACACATGACTAACATTTCACCACACAACCACATGCAGGGACAGATATAAGTTAATCATAATGGGGGCACTAAAATTTGTTTCATTCTTTTTTTTATATATAAAATATTAATAATTTTATAAAATATATATTATTAATTATATTTTAATTATGTTGTTATATCTAATATAATAAATACTTTAATATTTTTTATATATTTTATTTTATTGTTTAATTGTTTTTTATTTTGTGGTAAAATTATCTTCATTTTTAAAGAAGAAAAAATTTACTTACTTCAAGAGTAAGTCTTAATAGACTTATTCTATTTAATAATTAATGTTTTAGATCAAATTTATAAAAAATTTTAAAAAATTAAAAATCATATGATACTTCGTTAAATTAATTCTAATTAACATATAAAATATTTTTGTTTTAAATGAATGTAAAAATTTAGAGGACACTAAAAGAAAATAAATTAATAATTTTAGTATGTTTATCCTATTAATTTTTATCATTTTATTCCTCTAATTTTAAATAAGTTGCAAAAAATTATAAAGTGACACTTAAATATTTCTTCAGACAGAAAGAGAAAAAGGAAAAGTTATTACTCTATTTATAAGAATTATATTTTATAAAAATAAGTAATTTTAAAATTTTTACCATAAAAAAATATTTTTTAAAATTATTATATTTTTTAAAAAAATTAATAAAGAATATTTTATTGTCTTCACTGAGTTCTGGAACAGGCCGTTCTGGATTCAGAACGTCCCGTTCCGAAACCAGAACGGCCCATTCTGATTTCAGAACGGACTGTTCTGCTGTACTTGTGGTGTTTTAATTTTGCATCTGGAACGGCCCGTTTCAGATACAAAATTAACACACCAAGAGTGCACCCAGAACGGCCCGTTCTGGTTTCAGAACGGGCCGTTCTGGTTCTAGGTGTTTTCACGAAATTTGGCATCCACTTATGCATTTACGTGGCATCCACGTGGCCAACAGTTAACTCCATTTAAATAATTTGGACAGAAATCCCAAATTGATACCAATTAACTTATTTGGGACTAAATTGAGACCAAAAATAAAAATGGGACTAAATTGAAACAAACAATTATTATAAGGGACCAAAATAGGTTTTTAGCCTTAAGAATTTTATATAATACAAAACACTGCATTTTTCTTATCCCATTAAATTACCTCCAAATTCATGCAGTGTCATATTACTGTTTTTTTTTCCATAAACTTACGCAATCTAATAGTTCTACACTTTGGTTGCCTCTTTTGGTCTGCAGAATATATTGAGTACTTTCCAAAAGATACACTCAGTTTACAAGATTTTATTTACATTTAACTAATATACAAGAATTATCAGTAAAGTGGCCATGTTAGAATTTTTTACGGAAATGGAATTTTTTTAAAATTTTTTTACCAAAAATGCATCTGTTACACTTTATTTACACATCTAGCACCATTCACGGTTCATATTCAGAATTCGGTTCTCGGGGAACCGAATTTTGAGCTTCAAAATTTTTTTTTTGTGATCAGAATTTGGTTCTCCGGGAACCGAATTCTAAGTAGTTTTTAATTTTTTTGTTTTTTTGATTTGAGGGTGAGAGAGCGCGAATCTTGAACGGGCCGTTCTAAAGTTCACAAAAAAAAAAAAATTGAAGCTTAGAATTCAATTCCCCGGAAACCGAATTCTGAATATGAACAGTGAATGGTGCTAAGTTATGGATGATGATGACAGCGAATGGATAGTTCAAATCTATAAATATGGAACTCGATGGCAATAAGTGACATTCTAAAGGATAAGAGATCTATGCTGCAAGAAACTACATAAGTTATGATGTCTTTATGGTTCAAAGTAACTCAAATGCATTACCAGTTAAATGCTTAGCCGGTCTTATATTCTGAAGATCACTAAGCACTCCAGGGTGGTTCCCACCTAGCATATAAACCTCCTCCTCACCTATGCAAAAATAACAACAAAATGCGCATCTTAAATAGGAGACAAAGCAAGGAAACCATAAAATTTATTGGGTATGTATTGTCAATAAGTACCACTCATAGCTAAAGCATGGTTCCATCCCAGAGCAACTTTGGTAAAATTCAAAGTCGAGTTCAAGCACTGAGGAACATGAGCATCTTCAAAGCCCTTGAAGCCTCTTCCCCAGGTGTAAACATGCCCATCAACTAAAGATAATAGAACCATTTAGAGAAGAATGTAGTGCCACTTTCAGGCCAACAATTTTTGTATATGAATGTCACCGGATGACCCAAAAATGGAAATGACATATACCATGCAAAGGGAAAGTGGTGAATTTACCAGATACTGCAGCACTGTGATCTCCATTTGCAGCAATTTCAATGATTTCAACACCTTCAAAGCCACTGACAACTCTAGGAACATTAACAGATTTGATCCTATCGTTGACACCCAGTTGACCACGCTTCCCAGAGCCAAATCCATAAACTTGATTTCCTGCACAATCAGCATAACAACAACGACCTTTGCCAAATAAAGGAGCAAAATGAAAGTACTACAAAGTGAGAGACAAACACATATTCTAGACAACCACCACCAGAACCAATCCAATACCTTTTAACAAGACAAGTGAATGGCGCATGCCACATGCCACCTGCGCAACATGCTGATCAACAAAGCATGACACTTTGACAGGAGAGTAGTGCGAGGCCTGATCCCCATGCCCCAGTTGACCAAACGAGCCATCCCCACAAGTGAACACACACCCAGGATCTGAAAATCAAAATACAGAAAGAAAAAAAAGAAGAAAAAAAAGTGTAACAAACCCATTTTGATCCTTAAATTTGAAATGTGCTAGTAGTTTAGAAATCTAGAAGTTGTAAAATTAGTCTTCCAAAAATGCAAATTAATATTATCAGTCCAAAACTCAAATAAACATGCGGCTAAAGTGATATATATAAACTAAAATAACAGTAAAGAGTTAAATATAAAAACTGATTTAACATTTTATACACTTATACGACATTGACTTCCAAATTCAAGACCAAATTCATAGGAATACAATCACTTTCAAGTTTCAGCAGAGATACACTTGAGAAACACAGTGGGGAGAGAAAGAGAAGAATAATCCATACCAGAAACAAAAGCTGAGTGGCTCCAGCCAGCGGCGACATGGGTTATGACGTAACCATCCAATGATGTTACAGCCTTTGGATACAAAGCGTTACTCACAACCTCACCGTGGCCTAGTTGGCCAGAATTGCCCCTCCCCCATGATAGCACCTTCCCAGCTACAATTCATGATTTTTTTTAACATGATATTAAGATCAAAATAAAGTGCATTTAAAAGAAGAAAAGATGGTGTGTTGATAGTTGATACCAGAGGTCAAGGCTATGACATGAGCGCCGCCACAGGCTAGGGAAGAGACGGAGGAGAGAGAGGGTTGATGAAGGAGTTGAGGGAAGTTTTCGTCTTGAAGAATCTTTGTTCCTAACTGACCCTCCGTTCCAGCACCCCAACTCCACACTCGTTGCTCTGATTCATCTTTCTCTTCCATATCAACGCTTTTGAGTTTCAGTTACTTTTATGTCTCTGAGTGTTGACGACTATGTTACTCTAATCGCACCACGAAACGGAGTCTTTTTTTGTTTATGCATCTGTTGTTGAAACTGCACATAAGAAATGATCATTTTATATAAATTATAATAACTTATGAAAAAAAAACAAAATTAAGTATGGAAATTATATTAAATTAAAAATTCATAATAAATAAATATTTTAAAATATATAAATTACATCTTATAATAAGTTATTTATTTTTTTAATACAAATGTATTTTTAATTATAATAGTTTTTTACAAATAAGATTTAATTTTCTTTTATAAAGTGAACAAGTTTTGATTTTGATTTTATTAAATTTTATTTATTTATTTTTTATTCTTCTAAAATTTAAAATTATTATTTTTAATCTTTATTATTATTTATTAATTTTAACTACTTATTTATTAAAAAGTTAAGTGATACTCTTAGGTATTACCCATAATTAGTGAATAACACATTCAAAAAAAAATTATGTCTTTACAACAAATTTTATTTATATATATTGAAATTGTCATTAGTGACAAATATAATGATTTTAAATAAATGAAAATCAAAGAAAAAATATTTTATAGGGAACAAAACTAAAATTTATTTATTATAATAAGCTTTTGGCTCTCAAGCATTCCTATAACAAAGATCAGAATCAATTTAGGTACCCATGTGAAGGGTCCTTGTTGGTTAGTTCTCAGCCTTTGGCTTATTTTAATCCAAACCATTTCTTCATTTGGAACTCCATACTTCCTAGAGTAGCAGTTCCTTATTGTATGACCTTTCTTACAACAATAATAATAACAAGTTGTTTGTCTAATGAAATTGCCTTTGTATTTTCTGAAAACTTGGTTTTTATTAAAAACTACTTCTCTTGATTTTAATGGCATGTTCATGGTTTGATCAAAGCCAAGTCCACTTCTATCAAAAGTATTTTTTTGTCTTCCCAAAATGATATTAAATTTGCATTTCCATTTGTGAATTTGCAAGAGTAATTTTCAAATCAGCATTTTTGTTTTCCAAAGTCTTGTAATTTTCAAAAAAACCTTTCGAAGAAGGGGAGGTTTCACAATGAGCTTCAATAAAGTTCAAAATAGTTTGAAGATTGTCATGCTTCCTCTTTCTTGTTAGTCTTCTTGTTGAACTTGTAAGGGGAATTCCTTTTCTTTCTTAGGAATTTTCTAAACTTTTTCACCAGCAAGTTGAAGTTCTATGTTTCAGAATCTTTGGAGCTTGATTCTTCACACACTTCTTTGGCTTTGACTGATTTAAAGGCTATTAGTGACACTCCCTTGCCCTTTTGTCCTGCTGTTCATTTTCCTCAAATATGTGCAGCTTTTGCTCATGCTCTCTTAGCTTTCCAAAATAGTAGCAAGGGTAAATGTAGTCAAGTCCTTTGATTCTTCTATGGTAGTTAGAGCTGTCAAAATAGGCTTGGCCCGGTGGCCAACCCGACTCACCACGGGTTTGAGCCGGGTTGGGTTGAAAAAAATTTGAAAATTTCAATACGGTTCAAATTTGAACCCGGCTCACTAACAACCCGGCTCACCCGGGTTGAACCCGTGGTGAGCTGGGCTGGCCCACCAACCCGTGATTAATTTTTTTTTTTGAAAAAATACAATAATTATTGGGCTATGGTGCAGTCCAACATGAGACAATAATAATTTAATGTTGGATTGTGATTTGTAATTTTTATGATTTTGGATTGTATTTGATGTTTAAGATGATTTTGGATTATATTTGAAGTTTAAGATGATTTTGGATTATATTTATCTATTTGAGATTATTTAGATTTGATTTGATTGTATTTAAAATTATCATTTAATGTTTGGGATGAATAATTCATTTATGGGTGTCTTAATTAAGAATTTTTGATTTTTAAAATAAGTTTAAATTTTTTGGCTTTAGTTGTATATTAAGAAAAAAAAATGTAAAAAATTATTTTTTTTAAAGGTGAGCCAACCCGTTTAACCCACCAACCCGTGGTGGGCCGGGCCGGGTTTAGTTTTTTTGAGCTAACTGATAAATGAGCCGGGTTGGGTTGGCCCAGCAAATGGCCAACCCGTGGTGGGCCGGGCCGGGTTTAGTTTTTTTGAGCTAACTGATAAATGAGCCGGGTTGGGTTGGCCCAGCAAATGGCCAACCCGTGGTGGGCCGGGCCGGGCT